TTCCTCAACATAATTAAGAACATATATACAAAACAAACAGCCTACATTACTCTCAATGGAGGGAAACTGAAAGGTACCACACAAGGATGCTCTTTGTCACCACTCCTATTCAATATTTTGTTGTAAGTCTTTAGCAAGAGCTATGCGGCAAGACAGGGAAATTAAAGGCATCCAAATTGGCAAAGAGAAAGTAAAATTCTATTTGCAGATGATATGATCCTATAGATAGAAAACCCCAAAGACTCAGTAAAAAAGCTACTAGACCTCATTGTAAGATTCAGCAAAGTGGTAGGATATAAAATCAACATGCAAAAATCAGTTGTATTCCTCTATACTAATAATAACAGCACTGAAAAGGACTTAGGAACGCAATACTAGTTACTATAGCTGCCCATAGGATGAAATATCTAGGAATAAATGTAGCCAGAGAAACAAATGAGCTACACAAAATAAACTACTAAACACTACTATAAGACACCAAAAGAGACCACAAAAATGGAAGAATGTACCATGCTCCTGGATAGGAAGACTTAACAATGTGAAACTCCAAAGCAATTTACACATATATGCAATCCCAATCCAGATTTCAGCAGCATTCTTCAAAGAGATGGAAAAAACAATTACAAACTTTATATGGAAAGGAAAGAGATCCAGGATAAGCAAAGCACTGCTTAAGAAAAAGAATGTTGGAAACCTCTCATTCTCCAACTTCAAAATTTACTACATGGCTACAGTGGTCAAAACAGCTTGGTACTGGTACAATGAAAGATACATTGACCAATGCAAAAGAATCGAGAATCCAGAAAATAACCCTTCCACATACAGCCAACTGATTTTCTACAAATTACCTGAATATATTGCATGGGTAGGGTATAGTCTTTTCAACAGATGGTGCTGGCAGAACTGGAAAGTGATATGCAAAAGATTGAAGCAAGACCTCACGCCTTATACAAAAACTAACTCAGCATGGATTAAAGACCTTACGTGTGATTCCCAGAATTATGAAGGCCATTGATGAAACAATAGGGACAAATGTGAGGACTCTAATTCACGGAATACACAGACTACCAAGCATTTTGAAAACTATACAAACAAAAGTAGACAAAATAGATGATTGGGACATAATAAAAATTAAAAACATATGTGCATCAAAAGACTTCACCAAAAAATTAAAAAGGGAACCCACAGAATGGGAAAAAATCTTTTGCAGTGACACATCAGACAAGGGACTCATTTCTAAAATATATAGAAAACTACAACACCTTTAGAAGAAAAGACAACCCAATTAAAAAATGGGCACAGGACATGAACAGACACTTCACCAAGGTGGATATCCAGACAGCCAACAAACATGAAGAAATATACATGAGTACTAGCCATTAGAGAGATGCAAATCAAAATAACAATGAGATATCATCTCACACTAACAATAACAGCAAAGATCAAAAAAGTATCTGGTAAGGATGTGGAAAGACTGGGATGCTCCTGCATTGCTGGTGGGACTGCAAAATTGTCCAACCTTTCTGGAAAGCAATATGAAGCTTCCTCAGAAGGTTAGAAATAGAAATACCTTATGATCCAGCAATTCCTCCACTTAGTAGTTACCCACAATAAATACGAGCCATAACTCGAGTAGATATATGCACACCAATATTCATAGCAGCACTATACAAAAAGATGGAGACAGCCTAAGCAATGGATAAACAAACTGTGGTACATACACACAATGGAATATTATGCTATCTTAAAGAACAACAAGGAAACTGTAAGATATCACATAACATGGATGAACCTTGAGGATATTATGTTGAGTGAAATTGTTAAGTGCTGTCGAGTCAATTCTGACCCATAGCAACCTTGTATAGGGTTTCCAAGAAGAAGCTGGTGAGCTTGAACCACCAACCTTGCAGTTCAAATGACTTTGCAGTCTGACACATTAGCCCACAGCACCAAATTAGTCAGTCACAAAAAGAGAAATACTGCATAGGACCACTACTATAAAAGATTGAGAAAAAAAAACCATACAAAGGGGGGTGGGGTGGGGTTCTTTGCTGGTTACTGGGATATGGAGGGTGGAGTGAGGTGAGGGAGGGGAAGATGGAGCACAGGGTAGGGAATAGACACAGGATAGTTTGGGTGCTAGTGAGGGGGGCAATACACAAGAAGGGGGAGGGCAATGGAAGAACAAGGCAGATTGGAAAACAATTAGGCAAGTTTGCATGGGTTAAGTGGGACAGATGTAAATAATGATGTATTCACAACCTTGGAACAATGGGGCTCTGGGATTCAGGGATTGAGACATGATTGGAATGGGCAAAAGGAGGTATATAATGTTAACATGCTTGGCTGTCTTGAATCTTGGTTTCCCTTGCATAACATTATAAAATAGATACTTCAGGGGGAGAGAAAAGAATAGCCAAAAATATCACTATAGAAAGCTTGTAAGTCCATCTTCTGCCTAAAACTGATTGGAATACCAAAAATGGGCCTACAATGTGCCCAGTGAAGGAGGCATCCTGTGGAGGCTCTGCATTACATAAGACCATAGGGGGAATCCTGAACCCCATCCAGAATCATCTGAGGTGGGAAATTTCCACTTAAAAGGACAGCCTGGAGTGACTAGAAGAACAGAAGATATTCTTGAAAGAAAGACCGACCGGAAAAATACAAAACAATAACAGCAGTCCGACTGATTACTACAAGAACAAGCAAGCTGCTCACCCAGGAGACATCAAGGCAAGCAGTCACGTCCCCTCAGGGCAAACCCCCTTCCAAGACTAAGACTCAATTGGAATACACAAGTAGACACGTGTTCTGACTGGTGACCATGTTGGTCACTGATGAGGGGAAGTGAGGGAAAATCAGCAATGAAGCTGCCATCTAAGTCCAACCACATTCAATCTACTTCTGGAACCCTGGTGAAGACCTGGTTGACCAGCAGTGTGGCAAGACCTGGGGACTCCTGGGCCAGAGTCAGTGACATAGCCACAGAGGACTAGAGTGGAGAGTGAAGTGTCCAGCTGACAAGAAGAAAGGGCATATGCACAAGACCACTCACACTTGACCAGGCTTCAGTGGCTGGATGATCAGAGCTCAACTAGAAGAGAAAAGAAGAGGGAAAACAGAGTAATTGGATACAATTTGATGCACTTGACCTACATCTATGGATACAGTATCTCAAATGAGGGAACAAATCTTTACAGCGAGGATCATTTCCATCCCCTCAATACACAGAGTAGACAGGGATGGGCAACTTGGACATTGGCTACCCAAAATGGGAGGAGGGGAGGTTTACAAAGGCAAGAAGTGACTGGCTTACAAGCTTTCAAGAGGGAGCCTAGATCCAGAGGTCATGGAGGAAGGTAGAATCTCCACTGAGTAGCATCCAGTCGTCTGCCTGGGTGGGGCTGATGAAAGGAGATGGGAATAGAACTCTTGTGGTACAATAGTGAATAATTGCTATCAGGACTGACTGTGAGGGTTGGAAATGTAAAGGTAGACATTTTGTAGCAAAAGAAGGGGAGTAGTTGACTTTGCAGGCCAGAAGCAGAGACCCCTGGGACCATCAAAGGAGAAGAGCAGAGTGCAGGACCCTACCCATAGAAGCAGTGATGCCAGAGATGGAGGCAGAGACAATGACGTGGAGAGATGGAGCTGCTGGGAACTCTAGACCCAGAGAGGGAGAGGGGCTATGTGCTAACACCCAAAAGGCAGGTTTGTGGGGTGTACCATTTGGTTGGTTGATGATGCATGGAGGGGATTATAACCATGGCAATGTAACAATTTACGATAGGATGAATGTAAAGCTAATGTTCTCCCATGAAAACGATCACATAATTCACAATAAAACAGTTATAAATAAATAAATACCATATTACGCTTTACTTAGTGAATTTAAAAAATGTCATACAATATATTTACCATATATATGTAGGAGACAAGTCATTTTGATTACTATATATAGAAATATAGTATTAAATGAATGTAGGGAAACCTTCACTTGATACCATTTCCATACAATTACTTCTTTTCCAAGGGAGTTCAAAGAAAGTGACCTGAATACATAAATTTTCTCACAAACTTCTATCTGTGAATGACTATAGGACCTAAAGAAAATATGCATGGATTCCTGGCTTTCTCTGTTTCCATTTCTCACCTTTTTTTTCACACATTATTGTTAAGTGCTATCTTGTCTGTTTCAACTCATAGCAACCCTGGATAGGGTTTCCAAGGAGCAGCTGGTGGATTTGAACTAAAGACCTTTCAGTTAGCAGTCCAGTGCTTATCCTATAATGCCAGACCAAGATTCCTTTCATTCATATAAGCTTTTTAAAAACATATATCTAACAGAAGAACTGATGAAACTTTTAATTTTATTCATAATACTTTTAGCAATATAAATGGTATAATGTTATTCCTGTTCTAAAATTAAAACTAAATAATGTCTTTTGAGGTTGTTTCAGAAACAAATGTTTGATTTTTGTCTATTTTGAAATTAGGGTCTTGTTGAAAAAATTCAAGCTTCCAAGGAATCATGAATGTAAGTTTTCCTTTCTACTAATTTGAGTTAAACAAATTTAAGAATTTTTTATTTCACTGGTGGTGAGATTGTAAAACGGTATAACCACTGTGGAAAATGGTACAGCCCTTCCTTAGAACACTGGGAATAGAAGTACCCTATGATCCAACAATTCCACTAGTAGGTACATATCCTAAAGAAATAAGAGCCATGACACAAACATGGATATGTGCACACAATGGAATATTGCAAAACACTAAAGAATAATGATGAGTCTGTGAAACACTTCATAACGTGGTTTAACACGGAGGAGATTATGCTGACTGAAATTAGTCAATCACAAAAGGACATGTATTATATGCAACCACTATTGTAAAAAGTTAAGAAAAAGTTTACATATTCTTTGAAGGTTACAACAAATTGGAAAGGAAAGGAAGGAAAATAAATAATGTGTGAATGTTAAGCGCTGTCCAGCAGATTCCAACTCATATCAACCCTCTATAGGGTTTCTGAGGGGCAGCTGGTGGGTTTGAACCAGCAGTCCAGTTTTT